TCACTGGGTTAAAAAAAATATTTCCATTTGTATTATTCTGTCATTGAGCTGAATACTTGGAACTGATGCTTTAGCAGGCAAATCAAGATTTCTTCATTCTAGAATGCATTTAGAGTCTTCAAAAGTCTCTTATGTGTCTTTTACTTTAAATATGGACATGTGTGGGAATTTGCTCACTGCCACTCCAGTGAGCTTTTCATATCTGGTAGGGATCTTCTAACAGTCATGGGCTCAACTTGATGATGGAGACACTCCCTTCTGGATATTAGTAAAAGTCAGTCATAGCTTTAAACTTCCATTGGTTACTTAAACATGAGTAAGGTATTCAAACTTCCCTCGATCTCATTCTGGGATTGAAATTAAGATTTGCAATATAAAGCAAGAGCTTTGTTTTTCCAGGGATGAAAAGAAACAACCATGGTTCCAAGTGAGTGTGGCTATTCTAATTGAATGCTGGCTTAAAAAATAATAGTGATATATGAAACTTGCCAGTAGATACAGCATCCGAAATAGAACAGGTCCATTTCCTAAGCCCCGTGCTGGTAGATATCAAGAGCATCTAGACACATCATTTTTATTGTCCGACAAGCAGTAGGATATTTTAAATGGCTGTTATTGATGGCAGCCATCTTAATTTGCATATTTTAAGTCTAATGTTTTTTCCTTCCAAAAGATATAAAAGCAGTATAAATCCTTTGTAAGTGTAGGAATTTATTTTCTTAATACATAATATATTAGCCCTATTATAAACTAATCAACTAAACAGACACATCTCAACTTTTGACATTCAGTTTCATTACTGTTACTTAGATATGCCATCCTTTACCTGTTCCCTTTAGGAGGAAACTCGCTTGTGTGGTGGGACTGGCTCTGCTGGGCTAGGGGCCAGGGGCCACAAAGTATGGTTACAGAGGATGATATGGAGTACATTCTCCTGCCTGCAGAGGATTGGGCCCTAACCTTCAGTGCCCAGTAGCTGTGGCTTTGTGCTGTCTGAAGTTTAATAATTATAAATAATTCCTTCCATGAGTAAAAGCCTTTCTCCGTTTCCTTCTCTTTTTCTTGGAAGTTAACACATTTCTAAGTTTCTATGATGCTTAAGGGAGGCTTAAGCTACAGCACAGCACAGGAAAATGAGTGTTAAGGTACAGCTGCTTTCTCCCCACCCAGCTTCCCCCTTCACTTTGTTGGCTTTTGTGTGGCTGACGTTATAATGTCGTGCACTTTGCTTATCATATAAGTATTTTAATTATGTTGAGTTACAGTGTAACTCCAAATTTCTAAATTTTAAAAGAAACTTTTGGAATATTGCCCTTTTATAAGGTGAATGCCCTGTATCAAGTTCTTGTAATTCCTTCAGAACCAAGAATTCATAGAACCCAAATTGGGGGGGGGGGGCGGGGGAAACCTGTGGAGCAAGACAGTCTCATTAACTGACTGCTTCTATAGTTGCTAACACCAAGAGCTTGCTGCATGCCGACTACTGTGTAAGGGGTTCACTCTACACTGGCCCTCAAATTGTCTTAGTAATCCAGTGTAGAAAGCATAATGATCTCTCATATTTTCAGATAAAAAGTTAGTAGATCAGATACACATTTTTGAAGCCTTGTTAGTGCTGGAGACACAGAGGACATGGCTCTTGCTTTAAGACCACAGTGACAAGTGAGTGTGGAGTAAGCTTGTTAGCTCATGTGCTGTCTCACAGAGGGCAAGGCCACCCTAGGCCTTATCACTTGAAGAAAGCTCTTAGAACTTTTCGCATTTGAGCTGGATATTGCAAGAAGTTAAGATCATATATTTCAGGGGGGAAAGCAGTATGTTTGAAGCAGAGGGATTTCTTTTCTTTTTTTCCCCTGCCTTCAGTTTTACAAAACAGTCCTTTGAACATTTAGCCTGAGTGGAAAGGTTAAATCAGGAGATTCATAATTGGTATCTTTGGGGCCCAGGAAAACAGTGATGTAGACAATGATACAGAGAGAGGGGACTTGAATGTAGCTTTTCCCTTAGACACCAGGCAGGCCACAGTGGATACAGCCCAGCCTGTTAGCCTGATGGTCCAGTGATAGCAATGGCTGGCCTTCACCAAGTGTTAACTGTGCACCAGATCCTGCCATGCATGCTTACATACATTATTTCATCTAACCCTCACAACCACCCAGTGAGGTGTTTTCTAGATGAAAGAACTAAGTAAGCCACAGAGATTAGGTGACTCAGTCAAGAGGCCCCAGACCTCCGTACTGTTCACTGAGCATTCCTCACTAAGGATAGTCCCTGTTGGTGGTATTCTCAGGATCTGAAAACTTGCTACTTGTGAACATTATAACCCCATAGACATGCAAGGGACAACACCCCACACACACCATGTAGGTTTTCAAGAGGAAAGAAGAGAATATGGAGCTGTTTAGTTTTTACTAAAACTAGCAAGAAACTTGCCTTACCATTTTGATACCAGTTTTTAGTTGTACATGACTCTATTTTATCCTTAAGCATTAAGAACTGTCTGTAGGAGATAGACTGGGACATATAAACTATTTTAAGAGTAGATTGAAACCTATTCCAATTCTAAGATTAAATGTGAGAGTGGTGTAGAGTGACTGAGTGGAAGATAGAAGGGACTACATGGGAAAAGCAGACCAGCTAAGGCTGAGCAACAGTGTTGATCTTGACCAGTGTCCCTGATGGAGGAGAAGGGTCTGGCAGATGGTGGAAGCTGAAATACTAGTTGCAGGAAAGTTTTAAAGGTAAATAAAATGTGAATATAACTCTGAATGTGGCCAATTGGTATGACAAGTGACTTTTTTTTCAGTTTTTTTTTAGTTGTTGTTGTTGTTATCATAGAAAGTATAATCGTGATTAAGGCTAAATAGACCAAAGATTGCTTGATTTTTCAATGTAGGTGAATTAACAGTTACCATTCCAGGGGATATATCATGCTCAGAGCATCAGAAGAAGAGCAGGTCTGCTTTTTCTAGATGTTTGTCAGACAATCCACCATAACAGGTAAGTTCCCAGAGTAGCACAGTGGGCCTGTGGGCAAACCAGCCTTTTCTCAAATGGTGAATACATTTCCTTTTGACAGCCCTGTTACAAAGCTTTACCTTGTGGCTTCCAGCCTCTGGCCCACTCCTCTGCATCTGGCCTGGTCTTTCTTTAGATACAGTACTGCTAAAGCTTTCTCTATGAGCCTCCATCTGTACCCCTTAGACCCCGTGTCAACAGCGTGCAGCTTTCCTAAGGGACTGCCCCTCCAGTTCTGAATCTAAGCCTTGTTGATGGAGACATTTTCATTTTTTATAACCCAGCTCTTATTAAGTGATGATTATTTTATAATGCTGTTAGGAAACCAGATTGAAACCAGGTCCTAAAGTATTCACAACATAATGGGGACTGACAAACATTTATAGAAGACTTGAAGAACCGTTTTTAAAAAGCGAGTCCAACCCAGTGGGTTTAATATGGAATGAAGTGAGGGGGTTACTTCATTTCTTGTTATTATTGCCATTGAGGGTAAATTTAAATAGAGTGAAATTACACAACTTAAATGTCCAGTTTGGTGATCCTGACAAATGTAAGCACCGTGTAATCCCCAGAGTCCTTGTCACCCCTAAAACTTCCTTATGCTCCTTCCAGGCACTTCCTATAGGCAACTGCTATTCTGATTTCTGTCCCCACAAGTTGGTATTGTTTGTACTCTCTGGTATGGTAAGGAATCCAAGTCTCATCAAAGGTCTCCAGCTGACAACAGAATAAGGAGGACAGCAATTTTCAGAGACTTTGCACCAACATGCCCTGTATCCTTGGGCAAAACACTTAATCTTTTCTGAGCCTCTAGTACAGCGTATTATTAAATGTCCTTGTGGCCCCTTTAGATCCAACCCTGCTCCGACACTTCTAGTCTCAAGCCCCACCGTCTGCACAGTACCCTGAAACAAAAACAAGTGTGTTCACTCCTCCCTGCTTCCCCTCCTTATCCAGCCACATGGAGTTCCAGCTGTATCATATCAGTTGTTCCTTGTAATGTTTTTGGATGTGTCTCTTCTTTGGTCACTGTCTCCTCTTCATTCTGGCCTTCTGAATTGTTAACAGCTGTCAAAGTACTATCTTTACTCTCTTGCCCCTGGTCTCTCCATACAGTGTTGTCATTGCCCCCAAAACAATTCTTCTCTGTTTAGAACCTTCCAAGACCCTCCACCTTTCAAGATGCTTCTCCACCACCTGGAGTGTTCAAATTCTAAAGTATGATAACCCGAGGGCTTGCGCCACCTGCCTCCAGCCCACTTTCAGTGCCCTGTTTCCTACCGTGCTCTCTGACCCTGCTCTGCCTTCCAGGTCCCCCTTCTTCCCAATGGGGTTGGTCAAGGCTTAATGCAGCCATCTCCCTTTGTATTTTGAGGACATCTTGAGGGAGATGAGGCTGCTGTTCACATTTTCTCATCTCCAGCATCTGCAAGTTAAATTGCTAAGGAAGATGGAATCTCTGGTCAGGGTCTTACTTGGAGTTCAACTTGATGTATTTTTAAAACTTAAAAAATCACATAGAAGTTTTCATATATTTCTGACCACTTATTCAAGTCTGATTCTGAACTTTTCTTTGCAGTAGCTTTCATGGTAAAGGTGAGAAAATTTGTATTTATGTGGAGAGGATATTAAGGGGTACTGAAATAGTGAATCCTATGGGTAAAGGGACTAATCTGTACTCTTCAATTCCCATCTCAAATCCTACCTGATGTGCTTGTCCATTTAATGCTAGAATGGCAGATTACCATTTCTGGGAATGAAGATAATTTATAAAGGTCTTTGTGATAATTAGCAAACAGGGGAGAAAAAGGCTAAAAATAACTATTAAATATTGAATCAAGTATTATATTTATAGCCCCTGTTGTTCACCATGGTTCACTCTGTCCTGGTTTTCCAGTGTTTCGTTTCTTCATTGTGAGTCAGCATTATACACCAATTGATCACTGCTAAAACAAAGATATTTTTATCTTTTCCAAACCTAGGTAAGAACCTCGATGCTGTCCATGACATTACTGTGGCATATCCCCACAACATTCCTCAAACAGAGAAGCACCTCCTCCATGGCAACTTCCCCAAGGAAATCCACTTCCATGTCCATCGACATCCAGTAGACACCCTCCCCATGTCCAGGGAGGACCTGCAGCTCTGGTGCCACAAGCGGTGGGAGGAGAAGGAAGAGAGGCTGCGTTCCTTCTACCAGGGGGAGAAGACTTTCAGTTCGACTGAACAGCATGTAATTCCACCTTGCAAGTCTGAGCTCAGGGTCCTTGTGGTCAAGTTGCTCTCTATACTGTACTGGACCCTTTTCAGCCCTGCAATGTGCCTGCTCATATATTTGTACAGCCCTGTTCGGTGGTATTTTATAGTCACCATTGTAATCTTTGTGCTGCAAGAGAGAATATTTGGCGGACTAGAAATCATTGAACTTGCATGTTACCGTCTTTTTCACAAGCAGGCACATTTACACTTAAAGAAAAATGAATAAGATGGTCAGGCTCACAATGTAAAAACCTAAAGGGATATTTTGGAAATGTTCTAAGCCTTTGTAAACTGAGATGCATTTTGCATGATTGTCAGATATTTCTTACTATCATCATTATTTGTTAAAAGATATTTTGCACTTAATTTTGTGGGGAAAATATTGCTACAATTTTTTTTAATCTCTGAATGTAATCTTGATGCTGCGAATGTAGCAGGGATCGATTGCTGTGACATAACTTGGGCCATAATTTTATTAAACAATCATCAGGCTATTGATAGACAAGGTATATACAAGTTCTCTGAAAGCCCCAATCTTCTAACCCAACAGACTCACCAGACCAGAAGCAGGTGTGGAACTCATGAGTAGTGTGGCCTGACAGGCACTGGTACTTGACTGCCCAGCTCACCCCCGGAGGTGAGCACTCTTCCTCCATGCAGCCACACACGTGGTGCCCGGGCTTGCTCCCTGGGCCCCATCTGCATCCTTTGTATGCCAATCAAACCCATCCCATCCCATCCTCCCTTAAGATTAGAAAACATACCTCCCTTATCCTCAAACTGATCAACATAGGAATCTTCTCATTCCACATAGTATCTTGGGCTAACCAAGCGATCAAAAGACCACCTGTGCCCTTTCCTCACATGGAAAAATCACACCTGCACATGACTCAGGGAGCAACCACAGACTCTCCACTTGGAAACCTTAGTTTGAATTTTAAAAGCTAGGAATTAGCTCCAGTTCTTCACTCATCCTCAATCTTGCATGCTCAGTGCTGGTTTCCTTACAACTTGGCAGGTGTAGCTTTTTCTGTTAAAAGGGGTAGGCATGCAGCCACATGCTGTCTTAGAGGCATGCTGAGAGGAACATCCTGTTATTGTAGACAGAAACTTTCTTGTGAAATATTTTTTAAAACCTACCAAAAAAGGGAGGTTATTGTTTTCTAGGAGTGCATGGGTATCTAGTTTCTGCCATTAAAACAACCACAAAAATACAGACATGGCAGTAATGGTTTATCCTAAATTATTCAAGCCTGGTAGCTTTGATAGATTTTACACAAGGATAACACAAATGAATCCTTTTCAATGATAGCAGGGAAACCTCTCTCTTTTTAGTCCCAGGCTTTCTCTTTCAATAGTAATATTTAAACCCACTTTTGATCAACTGTTCGTCTAAATACTTCTGTCACTTGGAGTCAGAAGAAAATCTAGTGAACCAAAAGCACTGTCTCCTTCTGAGGCAAAAGGAGCATGTCATCATAGGTTCCATCCCATTGGAGCTCTGCCCTCCTGTTTTTTTTTTTTTTTTTGGCCAGGTAATAGGGATAATGGTCGAGCTGCAAAAATATGAGCCTATTAAAAGTCTTTAGCTGTTGGCCAGTCTGTGAGCTCTACTGCTCAGTGAGCCAGCTTCCAGAGCTACTTATTGCTTTATGTACTCTTGGGGCATGAATGCCTTCTCTTTAGTGACATCTCATTTTTGCTTGACAGTGACTTCTACCCAGCAGTTCAGTCATCCATTGCCATGAAAGGTAAGCACATCATGAGCTCAACTTACTGAACAGATTCTATGAGAAAGCACTGGTTGGGGCAGAACACTGTGGACATGTTGTATTTATTGAGACAGTATTAACTAGTGCCCACTGAAACCACCAACCCACACTTAACTGTTTCTTCAAAGCTGCAATTGACATATTCCAGCCCAGCCATTTACCTTTGTGGGGTTTAAGGGGTTTTTTAAAAACAAAAAACAACTTTTTTTCCTTTCCTTAATGAGAGAAGTCTCTTAAGTTTCTCCAAGAATTCTTTGGGTCATATTTAAATACAGAAATAGTTTAATAATCAGGATTGCATTTGTCCTGGGGTAAAAATGATAAGCTGTGTTATCTACCCCAGGTGAAAACATAGCCCCCTCACCTGCCTTTCCTGCACATTTATTGGTCAAGTTACAACTACCATGTAAATGTGTTTAAGATAAAATACAAAATTGATTTTACCTGCTCATAATTCATAATTACAAAGCACTAAAATCTGTAAAATCCACACTGTACTTGCTTTAAGATTTAGAAATAACTCCAAAAAATGAGTCTTCTATTTTATGACAGGAAGGTCTTTTTTCATTGTAATAATTCATGTTGATCTACACATTGTTAACTATGTTTAAAGCCTGAGTCTTTTTTAATTTAAAAAAATTAAAGAACTATAGTCAATGATACAAACAGTTCTGGTCTATGTGGTCAGTAAAACTCAAGCCTGAGTCCCCGTCTTCAACAGAGGCACAAGGTCATTAGGGTCTGTGGGTGGAACTTATCTGCTGGCAGCCTTGTGTCATGGAGAGAGCACAGGCCCATCTAGAGCCCACCCCAATGTCATCGAAGGCCCATTGCTTGGGCTTGGCAGAGCTCAAGGCTGCTTAACCCTCCTGAGCCTCAGTTTTCTTAGCTGGAAAGTGGAGATGATAATACTCAGCTCAGGGTCATGTTCAAGGAGATAAAATAATAGATGTAGAGCAGATAAGAGAGGACATGAGAAGAAAGGAAACCGAAAATCTATAAAAGGGGCAGGACATCCTCACTCCCTGGGACACTAGCTCTGGACACTCTCCTCTCTGGAGGAGTCTCCCTGCCCCACTGTGTGTGTGTGTGAGTGTGTGTGTGTGTGTGTGTGCTCTAGCCTTTAAAGAAAACTTTTTCTCTTGCCTCAGCGTTTCTAGGGTGTTCAGTCTTCGTCACCACGGGAACAGGACCCAATCCTGATTTTCAAGACCGGGTTTAGTCAGTACCTTCTAAACTAGAAAAGTTAGGGCCCTAGTGATAAACACTTATCTGGGGTCTGGGGGAAGAGTTGAAGTGAAAAAGCATCACAAACGGCGTTGCTGGACAGGGTGGAAGTGGACTTACTGATCTAAGACCCTGAAAAGGAAAGAGGGAGGGAAAGTCAAAGGGGATCATCCACAGTAAAACTGTCACTTGGTCAATGAGGTCCAAGCTCTGCAGGCTCCTTTTATTCCGGATCCCCAAGTTGTTTGACAATCATCCTTTGGTGTCACTCCAGACAAAGGACCAGGCTGGGGTTACAGTTCTTTAAATTTATGGTCCTGGTTCAACTGATTTTCAGCCCCAGATGCTGAAAAGAGACAAAGAAGAGGCAAACAGCAAGAAGGTGGAGAGGGATGGCTGAGGATGACCATGACACCTTGGGCTCATACAGTGACCTTAGTGCCATCCGATACTCCCAGAATCTCAGACCCACACAATGATACATGGGACCACACCTCATGTCACCCTGCTTTTCTGAGGGTGATGCAGAAAAGCACTAATGTCCCTTCGGTGTGAATGTCCCATGAGGTTAAACATTACTACTGAGTCATTGTACAAAAGAATGCAATAGGTCACACAATCGGGCAACAAAGATCTATAGCATTCTTAGCTTGAAACAAGGCCGGGTAGAATACAGCCCTACTCTAACCAGCAGCTGTGTTCAGGACACAGGAGGCTTCTCTTCCGGTAGAGCTTGATTAGCAGTGCTGAGACACTTATTAAGCAAAGGGAATATGGATGCTGTTGGAACCTCGTAGCTGCTCCTCATTAGATGCATGGCCTTGGTTCAAAGCAATGCCTGATCTGCTGAACCACCCCCCAAAACTCTGACAGGAGGCGAGGGGAGAACTGGAAGGAGAGTTGAATTTGCATGAACCTCCAAGGACTTAGGAAACTCATGGCAAAGAGTCTTCAAAGCAATCATTAAATCCACTAATGCCAGGATTAAGAGTCCCTTCACCACGCCCAACAAGTCAGCCCCTCAATTTCTGGAGGAGGGGTACTCAGAAGATGAGGAACTCACCATGGGTAGGAGGGGAAGCAGGAAGACAGTTGAAGACATTCCCAACCATCAGGAACTTGGGCAAATTCTTACTTCACATTAAGGATCTTGACCTTGAACAGAGGGGTATTAGAACAATCCAGACAGATACCCAACCCCTCTACAGAAACAGCATGACTGTTAATGAGGTCACAGAGGCTTTAGCTATAGAGACCAGATGGAAAACCGCCTTCCTCTTGGGGCAGAAGGAGTGGGACCTACCAGTCTCCCAAGAGCCTGGCAGAGTGGGACTCCCAAAGCTGTCCTACAGGATGTGAGTCCTTGATTAGCCCATGACAGGGTTGTGATTCCACGTCAGCAAAGAGACTGCCTCTTGGCCCCAAATCCCACAGGGAGACTTATGTGGCCAAAGTGGGCCTTTCTAGTGGACTCAAACCCTGCCCCTCCACCTTTCGCCACCTCCCCTCCCCCGGCACTCTGCTCACCCACACACTGCCTCCCAGGGTCTCCACACTCTGTCTGCCACTCTCAGGGTGCCCTGACCCATGCTGCCTAGTGCTCCCTCCCTTCCTGAGTAGCTTTCTCAGGACCACAGCACTCCATGACTCTATGCATTTTCTCTCCCTAGAGGATTACAAGGACCTTCCCAGGGGACTCCTGACAGGCACTTTGGTCTCCCGCAGAGCTTACTACCTGTACCCTACAGAGCTCTGCATGTAACTGGAGCTTAACAATAGCTTGTTGAAGGACAGATTGGAACAAAAACTTGGAATGAGAGCATTTCCTAGCAGGTGGGTCTGTCTCCTCCGGAAGCCTCCTTGGCCTATTTATGCTCCTACCAATAATGAATGGTGAATTGATTGCTGACATTTATAGCGCTGCCCAGGGGCCCACCAAGCCTTTTCTCTTGCTCCTTCTCATCTAAATGTTCTCCACATAGGGTGAAAGGGGACCCTGCAGGGGTGCTGACTAGGTGGGATGGTTCTGTGTTTTTCTAGAAGCTCATGTCCAAATGGCCAAAGCCCACATGATATGCACCATCCAGAACCCGACTTCTGCACCTGGCAGTAGGGACGGAGAGACCAGCCTCATGCAAAGAAAAAAGACAAAGCCACCTCATCTTCAAAGATTCCCTGGTTCCCCACAGGGAGACTGAAAAGCTCAGCTTTAAACTTGAGGGGACCTTTCAGGCCACATCTGGAGTCCATTTCACATCCAGCTCACACCTCCAGGAAAAGCAGCCCGTGTTTTATTGCTCTTTGCATTGTCCCTTGGCTGGGCTGGCTGTGTTGCTGCCCCCACTCCTCAGGGTCAGAGTGAGAAGCAGACACATCGACTCTCATGAGCCCTCATGCTCTCCCTGGCCTTCTGCACCTGATCCCTGTTGGGCCACGAACACAACCGTTTCCACAGCAAATAATCATAAACAGCTGAAAAGGACCAGGACTTCAGGTGCAGACATAGGGGCAGGGAGTAGCTGCAAACACTTTGGCAGGGCATGCTTCCAGACAGATGTCTTTCGCCATAAACCTGGGGGACTGCAGAGCAAGAAGTGGGCCAGGTTGCTAATGACAGCCTGTGAAGTGCATTAGGCCCAAGCTCAGGCAGTGACTCAGAACTTCCTCCTGGTGCTCACCTCCACTCAAGGCAAATGGGGTTGGGGCTGGGGGCCAGAGGCCCCGGGAAGTTGGGTGTGCAACCTGGGGAGCTAGAACGAGAGAGGTTGCCCTAGATATGGACACCCCAAGTTCCCAAACCCACACTGTACTGTGTATCAGTCCACTCTCCAATTCTTTTCTTCCCCGCAAACATCACATTTATGATTGAATCAACCTACTGGGGCAGAGCCCAGAAACAGACAGAAAAACCTTATTTCCAATAAAACATGTCCAACTGTCCTGACAGTGGTGATGTTTTCAGCTTGGAATTGGAGGATGGTTGTGATCTTTGTGCAACCCTAATGGGCGTGTGGCCCTGAGAACAATGCCTTAGAGATGCAGCTCAGATTTTCTCCAGTGTCTTCTCTTGGAGCTGGATGGGTTTGATGACCAGTTTCCACAACATGCATTGCAGAGCAAGAGGGTTTTGCTTTTGTTTCCTGGCCACGAAGCCAGGATGCTGAAAGTCTCTTGAGAAGACCTGGGAAG